TGATAAAACTTATTTGCAGGTGCAGTAGAAGACTTACAACTATCTTTTGTACTAACGTTATACCAATATACTGCCTCCAGTATGCTGCACGGAACTCTTTTCGCCGTTCTTTTGACATTTCGGTGACATCGTTCTGCAATTCCATTTACCGAAGGTACATAAGCGCACCTGAATCGAAGTTTAACGTTCCATTTATTAACAAACTGAGAAAAACTTTGAAATGCAGTATCATTGTCCGTCAGTATTTCATCCGGACCTCCTCGTTCGAGATTCATTCGTTCCATCGTTCCGTTCTTCAAGCATGAGTGCTCTTGCTCAGCATCCGTTGAACTTCCTCAGGAAGCCCAGAAACGAAGGCACATGCAATAGTTCTGTCTGGTAGCCCACCAATCAGCGTAGATAATCTCCGCAGTTCCTCCAAATAAACATCAACTATCTCTCCATGCTTTAATTTTCTTGTAACGAATTGTTCGTAAGCTGTAAATGCATCAACGGCGTATGCCTTTTAGCAACGCCTCTTTTAATCGGTCAAAATCTTCTTTATCACTTTCTGCTAACTGTTGATATACTGCAAATGCACCATTTGTGTATATCAGTTATACCAATTAGTTTGCATACTAGTTCCGCTCTTTCCAGCCATTCTGCAACTGATTGTTGATCGTTTCCACTAAACTCCGGAATTAACTTTAAATCAATTTTAGTCGACAATTTTAGTTTCAGATCAAAATCGACTTTATAAGTTTAGCGTTAAACGCCTCATATTTTCTAATGCAATTCAACATAATTTATATACAATCATATTCTCTAGGTATTTACAACTATGACTTTATATTATATACAACTATTTACAATTAACGCAAATCGATCGTTAACAATCATAAAATATAATTACACTTTACAAGTAGTTATTATTATTTATAATTTTTTTTTTGTTATTATTATTATTATTATTATTATTGTTATAAATTATTACTATTGCTTATTGTTTTATAATTATTATTGTTATTATTATTTACCTTATTATTGTAAAAATGATTTTAAAATGGAAAATAAATAGCATGTTGCTGTTGTTGTTTTTACGATATTTCGAGGGAATATTGATACCCTCCCCGAGAAAAAAAAACCCGCTAATCCTGTTAAGTTCCTGATAAGTTTCCTTCTAAAACTTAGTAAGTTCCCGCCGAGTACTTACTAGGAACTTAGTAGGATTAGCAGGTTTTAGTAGGAAACTTAGTAGGATTAACAAGTTTTTAGTAGGAAACTTAGTAGGATTAGCAAGATTTTAGAAGGAAACTTAGTAGTATTACTAGGGTTTTTACTCGGAACTTAGTAGGTACTTAACAGGATTAGTAGGTTTTATTTTCTCGGTTAAGTATTACTTTCTAGTTTTAGTTAATAGTTTTTTTAGTTAAATTCATATGTTTATTAGGGTTTTATTTAATTATTTGAGTTTTAAAGATTTCATAGATATATTAGTAGGCTTATTTTTCAAGAAATATACGAGTTTAAGTAAAAATAATAATTTTTACTTAAACACAGAATCTTCTTGAAAATATAATCCTTATAATATAACTTAACTAGTCGCAAAGCAATAAGGACGCTTATTTATATAACAATAATAAAAATAACAAATAATTAAGTGTTAGATTGTTTAACTAGAACATTTAAAAAAATACAATAAACAGCGATTGTCAGTTCTTTTGGTAATTTCGCAGGTGTCAGTGGAATAATTGCACCCATTAACTGTAGCTATAACGTAATTTATAAAAATATTAATGTAATTCAACAACATAATAACATATATTTTATAACAAAAAAGCATATTTAACTTACCATAAATTTAGAACGATGAAAAAACTTTCATTATCATTGTTTCAAAGCTATTATAATCTAAAATTTCAAAATAAAAGTGTATGAAAATATGAAACTAAGTTAAATTAAAAAAATTTAAATAAGCCTCGTGTGTGTGTCTATATATATATATATATATATATATATATATATATATATATATATATATATATATATATATATATATATATATATATATATATATATATATATATATATATATATATATATATATATATATATATGTATATATATATATATATATATATATATATATATATATATATATATATATATATATATATATATATATATAGTTTTTTTTTATGTGTTAATTTTTGGTATGTCTTTGCAAATGGCGGACGTGTTTTTTTAGCTGAAAAGATAATGAATATAAAATAAGAAAAAACACAAATTAAAAAGTATTTAATATTTATCTTTGAAAATAAATATTTAATTAACCGTTTGATAAATTGATTTAAATTACACACACACAGAAAAAAGAAAAAGAAAAAAAAGATCAAAGAAAAATAAAACAAAAAAGAAAAGAAAAAGAAATTCGAATTAAAAAAAAACAAAAACAAACAAACAAACGAAAAACACTTACGTAATTAAGAAAATAGAGTTAAAGAAACAATAGAAAAAATAA